GTCATTCAAGAAGAGTGTCTTCATAAAAATAAAAGAAATTAAAAGTAACCCCAAGGCCAGGCACATGCCAATAATTTCAGCACTTGGGAGGCTGAGGCAAGAGGATCGCCTCATCATGAGTTCAAGGCCAGTCTGCGCTACACAGTGAGTTCAAGACCAGTCTGAACTAAATACCAAGACTCTGCCCCACCCAAAAACAAAATCATCACAAATGATTTTTTTTTACCACTCTGATGCCATGATATTTAAAAGAATGATCCACAAATAGCATTTTAGTCAAGTCCTGGACAGGAAACAGATGGAACCCTAAAGATAATTCAGGAAAGCTATTTCAACACTCAAGATCATGACTAAGTGACTATTTATAAGATATCCTGGGGTGGTAGGGCCCCACAAAGGACAATTCTGTAACCCCGGTTTCCCGACACCCAGGGGCTGTGGGAAGGTGACAGTTATTATAAAGGAGCAGAAAATCATGTAGAAGCCACACCAAAGAAGTAGTTACCATCAGTGAAAATTACATCAGCCCAAGCCGCCTCTGCATGGAGAGCCAGAGAAGCACATATCTTGACTCCTCACTGATCCCCAATAGTGCCCACAACTCAAGCGGAAAGCAGCTTGTGGTCAGTCACTACAGTTCTGACAAGGCCATCTCCGGGGAGCCCTCAGGCCAGGGACAGGACCAGAGCGGTGGCTCTGAGAAGGCACAAAGGTTAAAGAGATCTAAGGAGACCTAAAAGCCTGACGCTATGACGTGAATCTGCATTTTAGCGCAGCTATTTAACATCTCCCTCTAGTCATTTTTTTTGGCTTAACCTGTTTGTCCACGCGGTATCACACAATCAGTAACAACAAATGTCTATCTTAAAAAAAAAGAAAAACAGCTACACACAGTGCACTGAGAAGTGAGTGTGTTGGCTGGGGTGCCCAGGGCGAGGGTGCTTGCCCGGATGCTTGAGGCTCTGCCTGGGCCTGGCCTGTGTCTGTAGGAAGGAAGGGAGCTTTCTTCCCTCTCAGGGTGATGAGCTTGTCAGGGCTGCACTCAGGCAGCTATCAGGGGTCCGTGATCCTTTTGCCTTCAGTTCAGTCTAGCAGGGAGCATTCCCACAGCGAGCATTCCCACAGCGAGCATTCCCACAGGACACAGCCAGGGGAGCCCGGAGCAAGGCCCAGGCTGCAGGTCCCTGCCCACACCTGCCCTGCCAGGAGCCCCCGGTACAGTCCAAGTGGAGGACCCAGCCCAGGGTCATCTCTGGTTGTGGGTTCAGGACTCCACAAAACAAAAGGAGACAGAGATTCCAGAAAGTGGACAGCTGGAGTACTCTGCTACCTATCACAACTCTTGCAGATTTCCTTAGTCTTAAGAGTTTACAAGATCGTGAGTCTCATAACTAATAGATTCACTCTGGAAACTCTTTTCAGAGGAGCCTCATCTTTTCTTGATCTGAAGTCTGCCTTCGCTAGTGTATTTGAATGTGGCCTAATCAGACATTTTTCAGTGATAAGGGATGATTTCTCAGTGAGTCTCTCCTGAAATCATTTCTTTCTCAAACACACAAGGCAGGACACGCTATCACTTTCTCTCTAAAATGTTCTGATCTCATAAACAACCAGACTTCAGTGTTCCAACAGCCAAGCAGTGAAGTAAACATTCCTCAGTGAACAGTAAAGTGTCATGCTTTACATTTGTTACTTGTACTGAAAAGGACAAGGGTATAAATCAACCCAAGATACTGAATAAAACCTTATCATTTGGGCAGAATAAAATATAGGCAAATATATTCATGTTGGAACTGCAGAAGTGATAGCCAGGCCTGCTAAATACCTAGACAGAAAATAGTTAGAATCTGACAGTGAAATTCCTGTAATTCTCACCATGGCATGAATTTCAGCCAAATAGATTATAAATTCTTCCTACAACTCACCAATAATTCCTAGAATTGTGAAATTCTTTGGAACTTGTTTTAATACCTATGTAGTACATAGTGGTTTCTTAAACTTTTAATTTTTATTCTTAGGAAAAACATTAGTTTATTCTGCATGGACAATTAAATCCCTTTCCTTTTTATAAAATAAAGGTAGGAAGGAAAAACAATTACCCTAGTAAAATCACTAGCAATGTATTCATTTTATGTGTCTAAAGACCCTTTTTCATCAATCTGTGTATTTAAGAACTGCCTACTTGAAGATTAACTCACATTTTCTAAGTTACTTTACAAATACAGTCGCTTTGGCATAGTTTTAGTAGTCTGTCAAAATTTCTTGACTAAATCATTAGCAGGTTGCTGCTGAATGGTAAATCATCCATTTTTCCATTTGTACAGATCAGTGTAAGCAAGCATCTTCAACAGAATTCTTGGGAGTCATCTCCGTGTGGTTGTTTGTATTCAGCTTACTCCCACACTGTCTTCTTTCTCAGACTTTAAGTAACATTTCCTACCGAGATGAAGGAGTTCATGTTTTTAACATTTTGCACTTATTTTTGAAAGAACAGTTTCTATGCAGGTGTCATATGTGAGCTTAGCAGAATTTCACTGCTTTGATATTTCTGCAAAATTCTAAAGTAATCTTGAGGTCACTTTGAATGCTATTTTCCTTATTTATCATTATGTATTTCTACTCCTGTTCATCTCTTCTCATGTGATTCAGAGAGCCCTGTTGTGTAACCTGGTCATCAGGTTGCTTTTATTTCTGTTACTATGATCTAACACTTAGCCAGGAAGTAACCCTAACTGTAAAATCTACAAGGCCTTTCTTTCAATCCATGGAAGAAGATGGTAGGCATTTTTTTAAAAATCTGCTACTCGGTGACATATAAAACCAAATCCTTCTGCATTAAAAGCATTCTTTTCAGATTCAAACACAATTTTAGAAACGTAAAGCACAACTGAATAAAGAACAACTTGACTGGGACAAGCCAAAAGTATATTCCAGTAAACCATAGTGCATCTTGCCAAATTCAAGATTTGTCCTCTTATACCCTAGGAAGGGCAGAACATTCATTTTGAAGTTATTTTAAATGTAGTCTTCCAATAAATTAAAAATGTTTGTTACCCTACATTAAAAGTATCAGGACAGCACAAAGCCAGTGTAGTTCTTTGTCTTCACAGAATGAACCATATGGTCTTGGGAGCTGGATCATCCGGAGACCACTTAACCTACATACACACCCACCTCCATCACCTCCGAAGACAGCTACATGAGACACAGCCCGGCCAGATGGAGATCTAAATCCCATCAGAAACAAACTCCACAATCCACCACTCACTGTCAGGAAATGCTCCTTTATGTTTCAACTACAAAATGCGGGCTGCAGATTAAGCCTATTTCCTCTACTGCTATTCCTGGTGGAGAAGAAAACCAGATGGACACCATCCGTCTTGCAGCTGAAAAACAATAATTAGGTCACTTCTTTCCCTCCAGCATAAAACAGGAAAAGAAAACCTTTGGGGTTCTCTTTTGCATGCACTATATTTCACTTCATAATCATATTTAATCCTATCTGAAAGGGCAAGCATATACTGTTTCAGAAATAATATTAGGGATGAGCTTCCTTTGCAAACCCCACTGCAAGCAGTGTTTGGTCTTGGGTATCTCATCTTGCAGCCCCAAGAGACCTCACTCCTCCTCCTCCTCCTCCTCCTCCTCCTCCTCCTCCTCCTCCTCCTCTCCTCCTCCTCCTCCTCCTCCTCCTCCTCCTCCTCCTCCTCCTCCTCCTCCTCTTCCTCCTCCTCTTGCTGCTGACTCATAACTTGGGATGGCTGCAGCAGTGTGTAAAGTAGGAAAGCTGGGTCTCCAGACCCAGCTCGGGCCAGCACTTTGTTTTGTCCTGGTACACAGGGCACCTGCAGTGGAGCTCCAGGCTCACAGCACATTGCGCTGTCATTCGGCAGAGGCACTGGTTTCTCTGAAGGAAACTAAGCCACGCGGAGCCCACAGTGGCAACGGAGGGAAAACGGCTCTCAGCACCGAGCACTCAAGTTCCACAGCAGTGTGTCACACTCCAGAAAACCCGGGAGACCAAACAGCATGAGCATAGCAAGGAAACCTGAGTGTAGGGGGCGATGGCGTCTTCAGACCTGGGCCATAGGAAGAAAGCTTTAGGAAATAGAGGACACAGAGGAAGCCCCTGTTATGGATTAAAAACCAATGGCCAATTTAGCACAGCTGAATTAAATCAGCATGGTACTGCATGTAGATGACCCACCCAAGCAAAGCTGCCGGTATAAAAGGAGAAGTGGAGAGGAAGAGCGTGGTGTTGTGGGTTCTCCTAAGTGGTGTTTGGAGCCGTTGGTTCTCCTGGAGGACCTTGTTGTGCTGGCTCCCTGATATTTACTCCGCGGTTCTCATTGGAGGAGCTCAGGACCTCACTGTCACTGTGTGGTACTTTTCAGGGAAGCCCTGGTCCTTATTTTGAGCATTACCTCCTGGTTCTGGTGTAGAACCCTCAACCTACTGGCACAGAACTTTCACCCCGCTGGCACAGACTTTCTAGCAACCATAACTGACCCGTGGGCCTTCCTAGCACCGATCCATTTTGAGTACCATACTTGCATGAGTCATTGTCATGGGCTCTAGGACTTCAGCTGGACTCATGCAGGACACTGCCATGGGATCCAGGTCCTTGGCTGGATTTTCTAGGTCTTTAGTGATGTGGACGGATTTCCTGTACTTTCTTGCATTTAACTTTGGGTGACCATCATAAAATAATATTAAGAATTATGTATCCTATATGTAATTGTCCTCCTGACTATAACACCCCCCACATGTTGGGTCAGAGATGCAACAGGGTGACAGGGGACTCAGCAGAGAGCAGGTGGCAGCGGCATGGAGCTCACATTAATTGGTTTACATTAGCTGCCTTGGGGGGGGGCAAAATTCATCCAAAATCAACCCAAAGTACTTCAAACGCATTTCTTGAACATTCAATAGACTTGAAGTATTTATTTATGCATGTTTGAGCAGCTACTGAAGTATCCACTGTGTGTTCTGGATCCTAGGAAATAACAGGGAGCAAAAGAAGAAAAGAAGCCTGCCTGGTGGGACCGACACTCTAACAGGACAGGTGATGGGAGCACACACAGCCAGTGGTGAACACCACAGTGCAGAAACACAAAGGTGTGGCCCTGGAAGATCACAAATATCCTGCTTTCCGTGAATCCAAGAATAAAGCCCCTTCAGATGCACCCTGCTATGAAGCAGATGAGGAGAAGACCACACTGCAGCATCCTCAAATCCACAGCCTGTGCTTTGCTGCACCCCTTGCAATCTGATTTCTCTGTCTACTCCATCAGGCTGAATCCCACCCTGGTGGTGTATTAGATGATACAAATGCAGCTTGGCCAAGCTGAGGACTTTCCATGGCCGGACCATTATGCTTCTGATCACCCATCAGAGCCATGATGTCTCCGAAGCATGGCTGCTGGGTCATCACCTTGCCTTTTCCCTGTTCGATATTTTTACCCACATCTTGATGAGGGCATAGATGTCATGGTTATCAAATTTGCAAATAACACCAAACTGAAAGGCAGAGCTAATGTGTCACATGACAGGATTAGGAATCAAAACGATCTTGACAGGGCAGAACAACCAGATAAAAACCGCAAAATGAAGTGAACCATCAGGCTATGATCGAAAAGCAAACAAATAAACACACACACACATGAATAGGGAGACCAGGTACCAGAGGTCTCTAATGAGGGAAGGAAAAATTAGAGGCTTTAGTTGGTCTCCAATTAAACAGTAGTCAACATATCGATACAGCTGCATAAAACATCTTAGGCTGTGCCATACAGCATTACCTACATGGGGAAAGGCAATATCAGTGGTGGAAGAGTACTCATTTTGAGTCCCATACTTAAGAATAATACTAATTTTTTTAAGTTTTCAAAGAAAGGTGATGGGAAATGCAGCTGTCCTATTATATAAGGAGTTGCTGGGGACCTGCCCACTATAGGAAACGGCACTTATGGAAAATTAATACATATTTCCGAGCTTTGTAAGTGGTTCCTACTGATAAGAACACTTTGTCACTTCTAAACCTGTTAACTTAGGGCCTCAGCAAAGAACTTTGCCCTTTTATGGCTCAGAGTATTATATGTAAACGACAGCTAATATCAATTCTTTGGGTTATTAGAACGATGAACAAAGACACATTGTAAATACGCAGTACTTTACCTGAACACAGCCCATGCTCAAAGCGGGTGGGTATCTTTATTCTCACCTCCCTAAGAAGTAGAAGAGAACAGGTGGAGGAAGGAGGGGGCCCATACCACAAAAGCATAGAGGCTTCTGAAATGTTTTGTTCCTTTCCATGAATTTGCCATGTAGATGCTGACTGACTGCCTGGGAATTTGAGAAGAAATTTTTCCTCTGAGTGAGCGTAGAACTAGAAATTTTCTACATTCCTTTCAGTGGATAATTTGTGAGCCCCTTATAAAGGCAAGGTTTTTGAAGTTCTGAAACCCTCTATGCATGTGGGTCACATGTCAGACCCTCATAAAACTAGAATCTATGGAAACAGTTACAGTTAAGGTTGTCTTCCTGATCTGTGCTTTCCTCCGGGACCCATGCTGAGAGATGGCTGCATCCGTTACCTCTTTCCACAAATGGGGAAATGAGCAGAGACTGGAAATTTACACAAGCTCCTCAGGGGCCAAGCAGAGGTTCAAACCCAAGCTTCTGAAGTGAAAGCCCGCCAGGCCCACATGCTCAGCCCCCAGATTGTCCTTCCCCCACTGATGCAGCAAGGGGATCCCATCCTGAGAGGTTTGCAGACGCCCTGAGGTTTCTCCATGACCACCACGCTGTCCTCCAAGTGCATCTAAGTTAAAATAAACTTGACGTCACAGTTGCCTCGGTGGGTGAGCTGAGAAGTGTGTTCTGCACAGTCAGGGAGTGTCATGCTCCACTAAAACTCGCTCTGTGAACTGGTGAGGCTCTCCTTGGGCCCTGATGTGTGTCCTACTCCTCCGTGTTGGGCAGCACTCACCCAGAGGTGGGTTCCCGCCCCGGTCTAGTGTGCTCTAATTCACCTTGTCCTTACCTTGTCCTTACCACTCCAGGCCCACACTACTGAACATGCACTTTCTGCCATCAATCAGCACTGTCCTCAGGGCCAACAACCGGGTGGACTGGACTCTCCAAAGAGTGGACCTCATCAGCTGGAGGAGCTGCTCCCCCCAGGGGCCACGGCTCAGGAGCAGCCCTTGCTGTCTCCCTGGTTCCAGACGGGCGTAGGTGGGGGGACAGGATGAAGGATGCCTGGTTTTGTAAGGTGGAGGTACTGCTTACTCAGAGCAAATCTCAGTGCCTGGCAAAGAATAGAAAGGCACAGCACGGGAGTGGGCGCATGGGAGGGAGCAGGAGAAACGAGCTGCTGAAGCCGCAGGGACTGGTGTTTATCCAACGAGTGGGCTGCCGAGAGGAAGCAGGGGAAATTGGTAGGAACAAGTGAGAAAGTTAAAAATAAACTGTGTTCAAAGAAGTAAGATTCTCTGACACCTTTAAAAAAAAAAAAACAAAAACAATTTTTTTCTGTTTATTTGGGAAAGTTCTGCTTCCTGCTTGTTGAAGTTAGTTTAAGTTTTGGGTTCCTGTGTCTGTGTGTTTAATCTTCCGATACAGGTGCATTTCAGTTCCCAAATGCTTACAGCATCCCTGAGCACCCTCGTGCCTGAAACCGGAGGAGCTCTGTGTTCTGTCTTATGAATACGTTTTCTTTCCCTCTCCATGGAACGCTGTAGCTTAGGACTTATTTGGAAGTTTACTTTTGAAACTAAGGATAATGATCTACAAATATTTCCCTGAGAAAGACTTCGTGTAAGCAAATAGCTTTTGTGCATGGAAACTCTAATTCAACTGAAATTTGATGGGTGTTTGTTCTGTGGGTTTGATCTTCCTGCTAATCTTACCAAATATTTGAGTAGAGACCTAAGTGCTGAACCGTTCCTAAAGAAGAAAAATAAAACTTCCCAGGACGAGAAGTTATATTTATAATTACTTAATTTACCAAAATGTACAAGAACTCACCAAACCATGCTCAAATCCATCAACAGAGATTACAGGCAGGCACTCTGCTGAGGGGTGAGCACCTGAGGAGCTGAGAGACCAGAAGTTCCCTCGTGTCCGGTGATGGAGATCGGAGAAGACAGAGCTAAGGCAGACTGAGTCAGGGAAGACAAAGACAGGAAGCCACCATGAAAACGGGCAGAAGTGAGGAGAGGAGCGCGGACAGCCAGCTAAGGAAGGCGCGAGCCAAGGTCAAGACGAGTCTCACCCCTTCCTCGCCTCATCCCGCTTTACCCAGCACCAACCTCTACACTCGAGAGTCCAAGTCTGAGAGTTTCCTCCTCCAACAGCGGTAATTATGCAAACCAGCACACAGATTGTCCCAAGCCCTGCAGGACAGAAGTCTCACCAGGGCCTTACTGGGTTGTGGCGAAGAAGTTATTAGATTCCAGGGCAATTTAACAGAAAGACTGCAAGTTTGAAATGAAAAAGACAGAAAGACACAAAATAAACCTCTCAAACTCCCCAAGTTCCAGGGCAAGAAACAGACGTCCTTGAATGCAAATAAGTGTGCCACTCACGAAAAAGGAAAGAAGATTTCAGGGGTAGAGAGCGAAACCGGAAGGCAGAATTGAAAGCAGCAAAGTTAGAGATTTTAAAGCTGTTTGAAAACTATTCTTCCTCTTCCTCTTCTCCTTTCTCTTCCTCCTTCCCCTCCTCCTTCTTTTTCCATTTTCTTTCCTTTTGAACTGGATATTTATGCCTTTCCCATCACTGTGTCTGGAAAGCAAATAACTTGTTTGAAGAGTTTCATATTTACAGGAAGAAAGGAAGTGTGCCCCAAATGGATTAGATTCAGATGCACTCGTATTGACAAGGCTGATGTGATTTGAGACTTTTGAACTATTGAAATTTATATGAGTTTTTGGGTTTGGGGTGCTTCAAGGACCTGGGATTGGTAAATGTATCTTGTATGTAGAAAAACAGTCAATCTTTATGAGCTACAGGGGAGACTATCATAAGCAGAACAATAAGTATATCCATACCCACCTTGCCATAATCTGTAGACGTGTTTTGTAACAAAGCATGGACAACTAAGTTTGCAAGTTGTAGTTAAGGTTTATAGGGGAGCAGATGTAATACAGGGCACATAATTTATAGGATTATTTTATAACAGTCACCCAAAAAGTCAAATGCACAAGACTGCAAAGATCTGTCCACAGAGCAGAGACGCAAAGAATCCGGCCGAGTCCTGGATCCCATGACAAGGTCCTCCCTAAGCCAGCTGGAGGCTTAGCGCTCGCGGCAATGTCTCATGCAGGTCTCAATCAAGGATCCATGCTGGGAAGGCCCAAAGGTCACGGTGGAAGCTAGAAAGTCTGAGCCAGACGGATGAAGGAGCTATGCCAGCAGGCTGAGGATCTGCACTGGAGCCAGAAAGTGGTGTTCAAGGTAAGGACCAGGGAGGGCTGCCTGGGAAAGAGTGACAGCGAGGACCCGAGCTGCTCTAGTGATAGCAGCCGAGTTCACATGAGGAAAGCCAGCGTGACAAGCCTCTCCCTGCCAGCGCACCGTCTTCCCCTCGGGCTCTCCTTTTATGCTGTAGCCAGCAGCCCACAGGTGGGCCCTCCACGTCCAGCACCGCGCTGACTCAGTTCAGCTGGGCGTCACAAGCTGCCACTGGCTGACCCACCACACAAAGAAAGGTAAGGTTGCAATCCTGAGACCTGACAATAAGATTATCCGGGATTATCCCATTTATAACCACATAGAGCCTGAACTAAGAAGTCAGAACCAGAGAGAGTGGTGCCCAGCCGCCACTACAGGCTTTGAAGATTAAACCCCACTCAGAATCCGTGACCTGGGAAAGGAAATAGCAGATTCTTCTCCCCGGAGAGAACGACACTCCACAGACTCCTTAACTTCAGCCGGCCAGACCCGTGTTGTGACTTCTGATTCTGAATCTATAAAATAATAACTGCGTGTTGTTTAAAGTCACCGAGCTGTGGTCACTTGGTAACAGCATCAGCAGGCAGCTATTTCACAGGGAAACACTACCACAGACCCCAGGGCGCTGACTGCAGTGGGCTGTGCTGGCTTTAATCCTGTGAGCAAGAGAAGACTCAGGGGAGGCCTGTGAAAACTCCAAGTCTAGAGCTCAGTCAGCCGTGCGTACCAAGGCTGATTCCTCAGGTTGACCTGTGTACCGTGGTCACAGAAGACACCAGCACTAGGAGGAATGAAGCGAGGACTCCGCGCTGTCCTCAGGTTCCCCAGCTCTGACCGTTCTAAAATGCGAAGTTGACTTACAAAGGAATTCAGCTATAAAGGGAAGCCGTGTGTTTGGGTAGCTGATTCATGTATGTGCTAGACTCAGGGATTATTTTTGCATCATTCCATGCTAATTTTAAAGTGCTTAATTTTTAAAGTTTTTCAGAGAGATTCATTTGCCATCTTTTTAGGCTCTTTCAAAACAAAACAACAACAACAACAAAAAAAATCCTAGAAAAACACCAAGCAAAGCTATGCACATGGGAATCTCAGAAAACGGTGACCTCTCTGCAAGTGCGGCCGGCAGTTCTTCCCTCCTGTTCGGTCCACTCTCTCCTCGCCTTCATTCTGTCCATTTCCTCTCCAGTGGGCCTCCTGCAGTGTTTTCTAATGAATCAAATACCGAAAGTGAAGAAAGTAATTTATATTGATTCACTTGGCGACTTGAAGTATCGAGAACTCTTCTTTAAAAATCTGCACTTCACAAGAAACAGGCACTAAGAAATTCTGAAATTCCTAGCACCATTCTCTAAATGAATGAACAAATTTCTACCAGAATTTGCTTTTTCTCTAATTGGTTTCATGTGCAGTAGTTAAATCGTGTATCATACTTTTTCTTTCCCGATAACTGTGATGAGATGACTAGTTTGGGACGAAGTTTTTAATAACCAGTTAATAAAAAGAAATAATGATTCCTTTGAATTCTTCAGTTATGCAACATAATCAAATCCAAGGCTATTCATTCTTAAACTATTTTCCGGTAGAATCTGAGATGTAAGAATTTATTAATCATAACAATAACTCCCACCACAAGAATACTTGCTAAGCAGCATCCCACAGAAGTGATCTCATCTTCACGGCGAAGGTGTGCAGAGAGAGGATGTTATCATTATCCTCACTTGACAGATAAGCAAACTTTTCCAAGCCCAAGCAGGTATTTGCGGTCGAGATGATATTTAGAGGGAGCCCGGTTCTGAGGCACAATTCAAGCCTTGTTCTTTCCCTGATCCTTTGCTCCCACCCCCACCCCATCCCGTGATACATTTAACCCAGAGAATGCAATAGAATTTGTACTTTCCCTCCTCACCCTCTACCACAATACTAACACGTTACAAAACCAGAATATAAATTGCACCTAGCACACAGTAGTTATATTGAAAGACGCTTATCTTGTATAAAAAGAAAGAATTTCATATCATCTCTACTTTTCAAAACTAGCCCGGGAGACCCGGCTTTTCTTTTTGAATATAGTGCACAATCTTCTCTCATTCCGCTCAGGGCAAACTCAGACATCAGGATATACTTCACCCCCACGACAGCACATGCTCTGTAGTGAAGGAGACATTTACTACAGATAAAAAGAAAATTCTTCTTCCCTTTAACTTGAGGTTCTAAAACAGAAAGCAATTCTTTTGCAGACCAGTGATTTCCCAGGCTCTTTCACCAAAGCCTCTACGGATCTGATAACGATGGCAGAGGAATCTTTTCTCCACTCGGCGGAGTGAAATGCATTCTGTGTGGATGTGGTTCAGGAATTTCTTTCTACTCTGTCTCATGCTGTTTGGACTGCTGTAAAAACACCACCTCCGGGAGCGCCAGCCACAGACACACACCTCCCTGTGTTCCTCAGACCCTGGGTGTGCAGAGACCAGTGCGGGCAGACTCGGGCCCTGGCGAGGCCTGCTTTGTCTCAGTCTCTAGACAGAAGCCTCCTTGCTATGTGACTGCATGGCTGTCTCTAGAGAGAGAGAGAGAGAGACAGACAGACAGACAGAGAGAATGTGGATCTGCTTTTTCCATCTCACAGAGACACCAACCCCATCATAAAAGCATCACCCTCCTGACTTCCTCTAAATTGAATTATCTCCTCATGCCGTATCTTTAAAACCCTTTGCCTTGGATGCTGAGGTTTCAATATAAACAATGTTGGGGAGCACACACACATTCAGCCCCTACCACTCTCTTAAAACGTAGCATATGCTGTCTCACCATGCAATTAGGAAAGAGTATCTAGAGTCATTCTTTTGCAGTTGTTTCAGAAATCTAAATCACTTGATCATCAAAATATGCGAAGGACAACTTTCCAGAACATGATTAGGGAGCAGGAAGAATACTAGAAATAATTTTGGCCTCACTGAAAGCAGCACATTCGTGAGCTGTGACTCAGTTTCCCAGCTTTGCCTGAG